ACTGGATTGGGGAACGGGCCACACAACACGTTGTATTCCATTGATCCGCCACCTGTTGGCCCACGGCCACCAGGTAACAATGGCCGGAAACTCCGTTCAGGAAAACCTGATTAAAAAAAATTTCCCGGACCTTAATGTGGTGCGGCTTAACGGTTATAACGTGACCTATAGTAAACGCAGGAGTAGTTTTTTGCCCAAACTGTTGCTTCAGCTTCCACGACTGGCCGCAACCGTCCGGGAAGAGCATCAATGGCTCTGCAATTATGTGCGGGACCACCAGGTAGATGGTATTATTTCAGACAACCGCTATGGCTGTTACCACCCGCAGGTGCCTTCCGTGATCCTTACGCATCAGCTACAAATCATGACGGGTATGGGTGCTGCTGCAGACAAACTATTGCGCCAGCTTCATTATAAATACCTCGCGCATTTCCAGGAATGCTGGGTGCCCGATGTACCGGGATCGCCCAACCTGGCTGGCAGCTTATCGCACCCTTCCCACCTGCCCCGTCATACGCACTATATAGGTATGCTGTCGCAAATGCAACCTGGCGATACGCCCACTACTACGGAACATCTGCTTATTGTATTGTCTGGCCCGGAGCCGCAACGCAGCCAGCTTTCAGACCTCTTATGGAAGTGGGTACAAACCTCAGATCAGCGTATTGTTTTTGTAGAAGGATCAGCGGCTATTGCCGCCCGCACTTCTGTACCTGCGCATATACAGTATCATTTACAGCTGGGAGCAGCAGCGCTGCAACCTTTAATGGAACAGGCACACCTGGTTATCTGCCGAAGCGGTTACAGTACTCTTATGGACCTGGTACTTCTGAATAAAAAGGCATTGCTCATTCCTACACCCGGGCAAACAGAACAAGAGTATCTCGCTCATTCCCTGCAGCAGCAAGGTATCTTTATGGCGGCCCGTCAATCGTTGTTACAACTTAATAAAGAGCTGGCTGCAGTAGCAAGCTTTCCGTTTCAAAAACTGGCGCTGCCGGGCGGCCATCAACAGTTCGTCCCGACATTGGACCGCTGGATCCACTCACTTCCCTAAAAGCAAAAAAGCCCTGCAGAGCAGAAGCTTTTTTGTGTTGATGTGATACAAGTGTTGCCACTCATCACATCCCCGAGGTTTGGCACCGGCACAAAGATAAGCATTCCCTTCTTCTCTTGCTGTTTTGTAGTTTCTTTGTAGGATTAACCTCTTACATGCTGATTCAAAGAACTGCTGACCGGCTGGTACAAAGGCAAGCATATACCTTCTGCTTTTTCTGGATCGTTACCTTCCTGCTTTATCTTCCGGCAGCCAGGGCAGGCTTTGTCTCCGACACCACCGGCTGGTTCCAGTCGCTTACTGAAGATTCTTTCGGCGATTATATTAACCGTACCAGGTTCTCGGTAAAAAGCATGTACCAGCTTACCCAATTCAATACCTGGCTCATCTACCAGGTTGCGGGTATTCATCAATGGGCCTGGCATCTTGTGCATGTTACACTGCATGCTTCGGTGTGTCTGTTGCTATACAAATTATGCCGTAAGCTTTTCGAAGATTCGGGTGTCAACAAACCTTATTTGCCGGCGCTTGCCGGTACCTTTCTTTTCTGTGTGAGCCCTTATGCCTCAGAG